TAAGTTAATAATCATCAATGATGCAAACTTACCTTGATATTTTACGACGGTACCGCGCTCTCGAACCCGACGGAACGTTTGCCTAAATACGCGGGCGTCAGGTAGGCGACGATTAGGAAACATTTTCCCATACTCTCGACGAGCTTCTTCAGCATTGCCTGCGGCATCTCTATAGTAGAAAAGGATATCGACGTATTGTTCGATAGGTAGATCAACGAACAATCAAGTCGCACAGCAGCCAAGTCGTAAGGAATCACAGAAAACAGGGTACAGTCTAGGTCGTCAGGAAAAGAATCAGACACGGAAGTCCAACAAGAGCCAAATCGTTAGAAACATCAAAATAGCGAACAAACAAACACATCCGAATGCAACAAATCGCAAGAGCAGATTGAAGCGAGGGAGGGAGGGTGACTAGTCTTACTTATCACACTATTCCGGTGGCAAGGTCCGATGTTCGCGGCTCTACCTGTTTGTTTCACTCATATCTTTGTCATTTATAAACCGGTTTGTGACTTTGATACCTCATTTGAAAGGTAATAAAACATAGCATGGTAGTTCTATCTGTGAACGTCGACCGCCAGCGGCTGTGTGCTCCGTCTCCGTGTGACGTTCAAGAACTATTTTAATTTTGGAAAAGAGGACAGCCCGATTCGATACAAATCGTCTGAATATGAAATAGCTCTAAAAAATTTAAAAATACGAAATAATCGTGATATATATGAGTCGCTAATGCAGTTAACCTAATTAAAAGTATTTAGTTTACGTTTTTTGGTGTCAGCACACTGTGTTCCAACAGGCCCAGCTTGGAAATGTGGAGTTACCTGTTTGTTTTTAATACATTTACTTTCAGTTTTACTGTTATTTTTTAATTTTACATAATCATTCAAAATTATGTTTGAAAAAATAGACAAAAGCCTAGATAAAATATCTGCATAATTGCGGCCACAGATGCAAGTTAAAGAAAATTCACTGTATATAAAGTCAGACTGAATGCTGAGCAAGGTTAACTGACACAAACTAAATTTTTGATTATTGCTTTTCAAGAAGAAAATTTCCAATCTATCTACATTAATAATAGATTCAAAAATGGCATACATATGGTAGAATATGATTGGTACATAACTGGTTGGAATTGGCAGTCCTCCTCTTTGCAAATGATCAAAATAAACATTTGTTGTTAATGAACCTTTTTCTTTAACTATTAGCGATTTGCATATCTCGCAGTTTAGGTTAGAGATAGCGTATGAAGCATATCCAGATATATAAGTCTTAGTACTATCCTCTATGTCACAATTGGCTAAGTAATTTGTCTCAAATACTTCATTGAATATATCCAAAACTTCAGGATTTTGTTTGGTACCCAAGAAATCAAAATTTTCTTGTATTTTTAAGCAGTTTTGGAACCTTGTTTTAATTTCTGCTAAAGAAAATGACGATTTCTTTTCATTGAAAATATGCTTCATCCGTATTTTCTCTTCAGCATTTAAAATTTCATCATATGACACATTGTAATTGCAGCCACATAAAAGTCTATAATTGCCAAATCGTGGTTCTAAATTATCAGTGGTGAATTTTCCATATATATTATAATCGTATTTATTGGTAATAGGCTTACAAAATTCGTTTCGCTTCAATTCTTCTTTTATTACACTTGTATTACTGACAATATCCCACCAATTCCTGATTATTTCCAAAAAGTGTGCAGCATCATTAAACTTTAATTCTTTCATAGCAGCTAGTGTTGAGTGATGGAATAAATTATCTACAAAATTTACATTTTGCCTTTCAAATGAATTTGGATGCAATGTTTTATAATTTAATTTATATGCTTTCTTCACTACAGCTTCTTTTTCCAATTGATATACAGCACGAATGTTTTCAAATTTAGCATACTGAATAATATCGTTATTGTCAAAATTAGGATATACAAAAGTTTTGTCTAGGTTTTTTGAATCAATCCAATTATTTCTGATACCCTTGAAAATATGCACAACATCATAAGTTAAATATATGTTCTTATCAGGATTATGTGGATTTGGAATAGAATAATTTTCTGATGAATCCTTTGGTAATTTCCTGAACATTGCTCTATTAATTCGGTGATTATCAGTAACAACACAAATAACTTCAAATCCACATTTTTGAACTAAATTTATCTTTGATCTTATCCATATCATCGAAATTCTGGATAGCTTTTTCATGTTTCTCAATTAATTTTTGTTTTCTTTGCATTGGGTCAGTTCCTTTGGGTGCTTCAGTTTTTGAAAGATATGATGGCAAGTTTGGGAAAATGGAGGGAACAGCATTTTCTTTCAATTTTGGATATTTCAAAGGTATATTATTTTGGACTGTTCCATCCGCCAAAACTATATTTTCTGTCCTGATGATATCCGATTCTCTAAAATGACGACTGCACACAGCTGAATATTTTGAAGGTGTCCAATTTTTTCTGGGAATTGCCATAAGCCATTTGTTTTTCAGACTTTCGGTACTTGGGAAGCAAAACAAAAATACAACCTGAATTTGCACGTTTTCAATAGTTGAAATCCTTAGCGTCCTGAGGCGCGAACAGCCACAGTCACACTTCTTAGTTTATTTTTAGAGCACAGAAGCACTACAACTGGAGTGTATTTCTCATATATTATAGTCACCGATCACTTTGAACACATACACACACTTTGAAGCTTAGAAAACAAGCTTATCTCTTAATTACTGAATTATTGATTCCAAAATCACAAATTGAAAAGGTAATGTTTTCTCAGCGTTTTGAGCACGAGTTGCGTCGATGCAGCAAGCAGCGGCGGGAGTAACACTACCACCTACGTTGCCAGACTTCTTTGTTCACGGCTCGTAGTTGACGTCGGCTGTGATATTATAAAATTGTTTTGCACGAACAATTTGTAGGTGATTGTTTCTAGTAAATTGGGTTTTTGAGATGAACGAAGATTTTGAAGCTTACTGCATGAGATAACGTCAATAATGTACATTTGAGTAACAATTTTCGTATTTTAGAATATTTTTATTGTAAAACAAAAAGAAATCAAATGAAACACCCAGTTTTCAAGTTTTATGACTTGGTTAACGTATAAAGGACGTTAATTTTATAAAAACTTAAAAATTAGTATAATTCGAAAACGGCTAATTTCCGGACAGTATTTCCTATAGTAAAATCGACTCAAATTGGCTTGCACTATCTCCCACCACTGGCTCCGCATTTATTTTCCCGTCACCCTGTATATATGTGAAATGGAACCATATAGTATTGAAGAGTTCTGTGGTCTAGTGAAACCGTGAGCATCAATATCACTGTGTTATATGTTGTCTATTTATGTTTGTTTTTGTATGTACTTTAAAAAAAGTTGTATGTTATTTACACTGTATCACAATGACGTGTTATCTCTGTTATAAATTTCTTTGTTTTTGTTTATAACTGATAAACCAATAAATTTCTATTCTATTCTATTCTGATCAAAACATAAATTATTCTCAAATTGTCAATAGTTTCGCATTATTTTGAACAATTTTTGTGCCTACCAAATGCGTTTTGCAAACGATGAAGCTGTTGACATGCTTGCGGTTTATTTTGAATGTCTTAAGAATGCCGCAGTAGCAAAAATAGTTTACGCGACAATATATCTAAGATTCACACCTAATTCATTATTGTCACCACCAGCTCATACTCGCGAAATAGCGTTTACGCTGCTGCCTCAGTATGAAAAGTATTTCGAATTGATTCATAATAGAAAGAAAATTCGCCTCGTGAAAAATTATCCTGTATCTGTCACGCTCAATTCCCCCACACAATACGTACATTTCTCCGGCAAACTCCGATCCAGACGCGTGATTTTTTTGAGTACACAGCGACATGAAAGGCAGCAAAACCCACAAAATACGAAACGAATACACGCGTATGAATGAGCTGTATAATGTCTCTCCCATTCACTACCTGTGGCTCTGACAATAAGCAGCCTTGGAAAATACATTTTTTTCCGCTCCCATCTGCGTTTTAATATGGGAATATGGAATGAGAAATTCATTTTCGTATTTCTCATTTTCTCATTCAGCGGCTGTTCGTATTTGCATGACAACAAACATTAGGGTGATATTTCACGTGCAACTTCAATATGAAAGTCACATTTAAAATCACCTCATTATACACATTCCTCAAATTGAAAATATTATACGTTAATTAGATTTTTAGTCGATATAATGAATTAATCCGTGAGAAGTCATGTCATGTCTATATTCACTTCGGTCGAGTAGTTTGTATAATTTTGATAACAAATAATAAACGATTAGCCACCTAATGTTTTTACGTATGTTGTATATGAATGGGTAAAGAGTCAACCCACTTGACATCATCCCCTGCGCTCCCGAGTAGCCCTTAAAAATTATCGCAGCAACATTGTTCTACCGCTTGAAACCTTGTTGTCGAAGTCGCATTTACGCTGCGCGGTAACCGAAATTCCTGTATGGCGAACGTTTCCTGCCTCTCAGCAGCAATTCATTAGTTGCAAGCTGTAAGTGGTCGACAGCAACTTTATGAAGCAAAACGAAAAAGAGAATTTTGTTGGTGCACATGTAAGCGATCCTTCGCATGCTTCCATTGTTACACATACGCGTAACAGTTGAGGCTTTGTATTTGGGTTACTAACAAATATAAACTAAAAAATGATGAATGAAATCCTTCATCCAATTAACTGAGTATGAAGTTATTTTGTCTTAGCTAGCAATTAGTGAGGTAACGAATATTCGCATTTGCAAATATTGGCATGTTTCTTGATATTCGCGTTTATATCCACATTCGCGAAATTCATGGGACTGTTTTGCGAACATGAACTCAATTCATTTCCCATAGACAAACAATACCATATAGGAATTGCCAATGCAATAAATCTTACGACTAAAAAGTAGAGGTGATGAATAGATTCTCTTGAAAAAGGTACAAAAGCTCTAAAAGACTAGAAAAACAGTCCTCCAACAGGTAACGCTGATAAACACAGGATTTGAGACGTGCCAGTTTTTGGGTGTATCTTATGTATTTTGAGACCCTTGAATCGAATCTAAAAACAGAATATATCTGTCACCCACAGATATCCGGTAACATCTACTTTTATGAATTACAATACGTAACATCTCATATTGCTGCATTTCTCGGCGTTTATGGGATGACGCACATATATAATGTTAAGACCTGTCTATTCCGGTTTATTATATACGAGCTCTATGTCTAGAGAGCATATTGCGTTCACTAGTAGACTGATAGCAACCAAGTCAGTTACGTTTTCTGTTTTCCTTTCTCCATTTTGTTATGTCTTTAACTAGTCCTTCTGCTGCTTCCCAGTCCAAATGCTTAAGTACAACTATATTTCGTTATTCCACTTCCTTCTTGGAATTCCTTTTGTCTTTTTCCTGGATTTTTCCACTCTCCAGATCCGATTCGCCAATCTTGCATGTGTTCAAACCACCTTAGCGCATTCACTCTTATATTTTTTTCTACAGATATAACACATTCTACATTCCTGACTTTGACCATAATCAGACTTCTTCTTAGCAGTAACATTTCACTTGCTTGTATTTTCTGTCTCTGTTTTTTATTCAATATCCACAGTTCTGGACCATATTTTAGGTTAGCAAGGTACGGTGAGTTGAACACTCTTATTTGTGTTTTTGTAGATATTTATTTTTTGTTAAATAGGTGTTTATTTAGTTGGAAGTATAATCTTGTAGTTGTTTTATTCTATCTTCTATTTCTGCCTCAAGCCTCCCATCCTCTGAAACCATTATTTCTAAATATTTAAACTGTGTTACTTGTTGTCTTGCTTGTCGGATATATATGTTTTGCGGGCATTGATTCCCAAAGTGGTCTATATCGACCCCTAGGGGTCTGTGACAACCTGCAGGGGGTCTAAGTCAGCGAAAAGAAATTTGGGGATCCATGAAATGAATATGGGGGTCCACGATAGTGGATCTCAACACATACACTGATAGTACCTATTTACTTACATCATACTATCTTATGATATCGAAACATATACATTATTTATAAATGTACCTATGAAGTAAAAAATTTATTATATGTATATGTTTATAAAATTGTGTAGGTTGTAGGATGTTGGTATTCGCTTTGTGGTCGCAATACATTTTGCACTTAAAAAGCTGAGAGTCGCCGTCTCAGAGATTCGCTACCTTGCACTGACTTGTTCAATTCGTCACTCTATAAATACGAATGTGGGATAAATACGTTTATTCGTTTCCTGAATCTTGAAAAGAAAAGTGCCAAGAAAATATTTTATAAAATATAAACAGATAGTATATCACACAAATTATAGTGAGTCAGTGTTATTTTGTTTGAGAGTGATGGGAAAAGTAAGTTCATTATTTTTTATTAAATTTTAGTTTTGTACTCGTAGTTAGCAAAGATAGATAAATTACGCCAATCATGACTTTAGTTATTAGTAGTTAAATATTCAATCATGCAAAATTACACGAGTACTCCTCAATAGTTTCTTTTTGAAAGTCTTGGCAATCGGTAATATAATTACAGTACAATCTTCGTAATTCGAGCTAATTGTTGCAAGATGTTCGAATTATGGAATGTTTTCGGAAAAATAAAAAAATATTTTTAATATACAGGTGCTGAATTTTCTGTCTTATTTAAATAATTTAATTTTGCCCACAGATGACTGATGCCATGTCCGAATCTAAAAAGAAATGTAGACAGTACAGTGTTGATTATTTGAAATTTGGCTTTATTCCATCATTGCCGGACAAACAATCGCCTATGTGCCTTTTATGCAACAAAGTTTTGGGCAATGACGCTATGAAACCATCTAAACTGCAAGATCATCTGAGAAGATGCCGCCCTGATAAAACAGAGAAAGATTTGAAATACTTTCAAACACTCAAAGATAAATTTCTGAAGAGACCTACACTGGACAGAATGTTCGCTTCGACGTCACAAAGAAATGGTGATGTTTGCGGGCGTCTTACAATATCTCGTTACTTATAGCAAAATCCGGAAAACCGCGTACTATCGGAGAGAAGTTAATTTTGCCAGCCGTTGAAGAGGTTTTAAAAACTGTTTTACACAAACCTGCATCTGATCTCATTAAAAGAATTCCCTTAAGCAACAATACTGTTGAAAGACGTATTGACCCATTTCTCTATACAACTGGACGAGTCAACTTTACCTGATAATGCAGCATTATTATTGGCATATGTTCGTTTTATTATGAATCAAGAAATCTACGAAGAACTGCTCTTCGCAAGAACATTGATAACCGACACTAAAGGCGAATCAATATTTCATGTTTTGAAGGATTACTTGATTGAAAAAGCAATTCCTTTATCAAATATAATATCAGTAGCTACAGATGGAGCGCCTGCCATTGTTGGACCTTATCGTGGATTTATAAGCTACTTAAAACAAAATGTGTCAGGGGTGTTAGCAATACATTGCCTCATCCATCGACAACATTTAGTTGCTAAAAATTTGAGTGTTAGATTGCATGAATCACTTCATTTAGTCATTGATGCAGTAAACCGAATCCGAAGCAACGCGTTGAATACGCGGTTATTTGCGCAGTTGCGTGAAGAAAATGACGAACGCTTTCATCAATTACTCCTTCACACTGAAGTACGCTGGCTGTCGAAAGGCTTATGTTTGACAAGATTTTTTGCACTTTTTGAGACTATTTTAGAATTTCTGGATACTAAAGATAAAATTTTAAAAGAAAATTTAATGAAGAGGAAAACTGACATCGCCTATTTAACAGATTTGTTTACAAAATTTAATATGGTTAATTTGCAATTGCAAGGGTTTCAATTTGATTAAAACAAAGTCCATCTTATCAGCGTTTCTTGCCAGAGTTAAACTAATGAAGCAAGATATTGGACGGGGCGAATTTTCTCAGTTCCCCAATTTGTCACAGACAAGCTGCCAGGAAGACGACGTTTCAACTTACGTTCAACATTTAAATGCCCTCTATTCAGATTTTGAATCTAGGTTTGAGGATATTTTGACTATGGTAATACCACCGTGGATAATTAATCCATATGGTGACATAGAAGAAACGAATGTCGTAATACAAGAGGAACTGACTGAACTAAGTACAAACGAAGAACTTAAGGTTCAGTTTAAAAGCGGATATCAGCAATTCTGGCTGCAAAACAACATACCCGTTACTTATCCCGTATTCTGGAATATAGCCAGGAAATTTTTAATTTCCTTTCCATCGTCATACCTAGTGGAAAGGGGGTTCAGCGCTGTTACCAATCTCCTAAAGAAAAAAATAAACAGACTGGACATCATTAGCCGAGGAGATTTAAGATTAACCCTTACAAAATTGACGCCAAATGTTGATAGTTTATTATTAAGGCATCAGGTTCATCCTTCTCACTAAAAATATTGACTTATTGCTTATGTTTTATTTGTAGTTTATTTTATGTTTATTTTTGTCCGACCAATAAATGCCCGCATTGGGAATAAGGGCCCGCATTGATTTTTTTAAAGAAAATATTTTTGTTTTTTAAAAATTATTCTGAAAATTCAAGGATAGGTACACACTAAAATTCGTTAATTTTTTGCCTATTTTTAGATAACTTAAACCTATAAGAAGCGGAATTTAATCAGACTAACAGTGAAATTATTGTAGAACATACGTTTATGTTATAATTAATAAACGAACTCGCTTATTGTACTATTTTAAGTAAAACACTTTTTTTTTATTATTTTTCACTTTTTTTTATTTTATCCCTCTTATTTTTTTTTTCAATGCGGGCACTTATTCCCAATGCACTTTTTGGTCGGACACCTGTTTATTTATTGTTACGTATATTTTACACAACAGATACAAAATTATTTTGAGTAGTTTTAATTTAAATTCAATTAATAAATGTATAAATTAACATGTGTTTTTAGTTTTTAACACTAAACTTCACTACAGTTAGAAATTTACAGGAAATCAATATCAGGTAAGTAAGGTGCCTACCCAACACGGAAAAACATGGCAAGGGGTCTACGACACAAAAAAGTTTGGTGAACTCTGTTTGCGAATGTTGAGAAATATTCATACATTATGCTTTGTTCGTATTTGTTTTCAGTTTATATTTTCTGAGTGCCTTACTACATACCTCAAGGTTATGTTGTAGGTCTTCTGTTTTTAACACGCTTTCATTAGCTTGGCCTGTATGTATGTATGTACGGAATCTTTGAGCCTAATTTTCACCAATTTCCAGAAGTTTGATTAATTTGAAATAAATAGTTTGAAAAAACTAAAAAACACGCTTTTATAGCTAACCGATATAAAAAGGTAAAAATCATTTTTATTTACAAAGAGAAGTTCTCGTTTGGATTTCGTAGCAAACGGACGTGCTGATAAGCGAATCGACGAGTACGAGTACGAGTACAAATAATATAATCATAATAATAAAAAAGTGTTCCATAACAAAAGCTGTAAAAACGTGAAACAAAATAAGTGTCGTTAGTTAGCAGTGCAAGAGCTGGTGGCACCGGTTATGCAGGTGGTCTAAAACATTTCATCAACAATGTCTCATAGCCAGGATGTGTCAGTAATAGAGCATAATCAAATACTAAGAATGTCATCAACAAGTGAAGAAGAATTAGAGGACTCACAACAAAATAGAAATAACCCGTGGCAAGTGATGAGAAGCGTTAAAAGGAGGAAAGTTGCCAAAGAGCAGAACAAAGAAACAACGGAAACTGTAACTGTAAACAACAGATTTGATATCCTAGCAGACAAAACAGATGATAATGTCGGTAATAACACTCAACGAATTCCAAAGCCACCCCCAATCTTTGTTCATGGAATGATCAACTACGAGGAAATGGTCAACACCATTAGAGACATATTAGAAGACGAGCAATATATCACGAAGAGCCTCGCAAACAACGTTGTGAAAATAAACTGCGCAACCCCAGAATCATACCGTAAGCTCATCAGAAACTTCAAAGAAAATAGTATCTTTCACCATACCTACCAACTGAAAGAAGAGCGATCATACAGGGTAGTGATAAGGTATCTACATCACTCTACAAAAATCGATGATATAAAAGAGGAGCTGGGAAAACTGGGTCACAAAGTTCGCAGCATAATAAATGTTCTTCATAGGACTACCAAAGAACCACTAAACTTATTCTTTGTAGATCTTGAGCCAGCCGAAAATAATAAAGATATATATAACATCAGAGGATTACAGAATAAAACTATTCAAATAGAGCCACCCAGACCTAGAAAGAACAATATCATCCAGTGTATGAGGTGCCAACAATTTGGACATACTAAAACATACTGCAACAAACCATACTTATGTGTGAAATGTGGTGGTCCCCATAATACTAAGGACTGCAAGAAGCCGAAAGATGCGCCAGCAAAATGTGCCCTTTGTGGTGGCAGTCATACTGCAAACTATAGAGGCTGCGAACACTACCACAGAACATTGAAAAATAAAAATCCCACCTTCCAAACTCCCCTACCACCTATAACTAGTGAACCAGCTTATGTTAACAATGTTGAGCCCGCCACTAACCGCCAATACTCAAGAACGTATGCAGATGCAGTAGCCAACAACACTGAAAACTCGGTAAGTCTAACTTCTACAATGAATAAATTCCTAGATGAATTTAAAAATATGTTCAACCAGCTCCTACAACAAAACAGTCTGATCCTCAATATGATTGCCACGCTAATCAACAAAATCAATTAAAATGGCCAATTTTCTAAGAATTGCCCAGTGGAATGCCAATGGTCTTCCTAGTCATAAAGAAGAAGTTAAATTGTTTTTACAGCAAAACTATATAGACGTCCTACTAATCAGTGAAACACATTTCACTGAAAGAAGCTATTTTTCTATACCCGATTATATACTTTACAATACAAATCATCCCGATGGTACAGCACATGGAGGAGCTGCAGTACTTATTAAAAAAACAATCAAACACCACGAAATGCCTAAGTATGAAGAAAACCATATCCAGGCAGCATCTGTAAAAGTAAACAGTCTTCCTTACGATATAACAGTATCAGCTGTCTACTGTCCACCACGTCATAACCTCAAAAATGAGCAATTCAAAAATTTCTTTATAACTCTTGGTCCAAAATTCATTGTTGGGGGGGACTACAATAGCAAGCATACCACATGGGGCTCACGGCTCACAACAACAAAAGGAAGAGAACTGATACAAGTCATATTAGAAAACAACTACACGTTTATTTCACCAGAAGCACCTACTTATTGGCCTACAGATGTAAATAGACTTCCCGATCTTTTAGACTTCTTCATAACCAGTGGCATATCTTCATCTTATACAGAAATATCTTCAAGCTTTGACCTCACATCAGACCACAGCCCAATTACCCTAACTCTGAGCACAGCAGTGATATGTAAGAAACCCACTCCAAGATTGCATAATAACAAAACAAATTGGGATAGATACAAACAGATAATTGTAGATAACATCAATCTCTCAACCAGATTGAAGCAGCCAAATGATATAGAGGTCGACTGCAATAGCTTTATTTGTACACTCCAACAGGCAGCGAAAGAATCCACACCATTCATAGACTGTGCTTACAAAACAAAAAATATCCCCGTTGAAATAAAGAAGCTAGTTGCAGAGAAGAGAAGAGCACGATCAATCTGGCAACGTACCCGCACGCCAGCCAGCCGAACAAAGTACAACACCTGCTGTAATAAGCTAAAGTCTAAACTCCAAGAAATGAGGAATGCCTCCGTAGAAGGCTACGTATCTCAACTCACGAGACAAGATAACTCCATATGGAAGCCCATAAAAGCTAAGAGAAAACCTCATTCTACATCACCCCCAATCCGTAGCCAAACAGTAGCTAATGGTCAATGGGCAAAAAGCGATAAAGAAAAAGCTGACGCATTTGCACAACACCTTGCCGAAGTGTTCATCCCACACAATGACGATCCAGTGCAGGAAGTAGATGAAGCCAATCTCATCCATCTTTTAACTCAAGAACGGTTAGCACCTTTCTCTCCGAAGGAATTACAAAATGAAATAAACAGGCTAAATATAAAAAAAGCTCCCGGAGCTGACATGATCACAGGCAAAATGTTACAAGAACTTCCCAAGAAAAGCTTGATGAAATTGCTTTATATATTTAATGCGATTATAAGGCTAGACTACTGGCCCATGTCCTTCAAGAGTG